CCCCGGCTGCGGGGGGTCCCTTCCCCCGTTAATCGCCGTTTGTGCAACACTACGATCGTCCGCTGAACGCCCCTTCGAAAAGGCGTGGTATAGTAACAAAACCGCTTTCCAGAACAATCCTTTACTGATCCCACGAGGCGGAGAGAGTGCTTCGCTTTGGCGAAGAACTGCAACGGCATGGCAAGATGCTTCTGGGGTTTGGTTCCAGCGAGCAACACGTTACTTGACTGAAATTCCAGGGGAGGGGGGGTTAGACAGTCAGTGTCCTTAACTGCGGCTGGATCATGGCCAAGAACCGCTGGTAGCATGCCTGTTCCCGCAGAAGTGCGTTAGGAGGTGTTAACAGTCCGAGCCCAGCTTCGCACTTTACCGACAGCCACCACTTTGAGAAGTCGGGTAGCGACGGACTGACCCGCCAAGGGGGCAACCGCCTGCTGAACGCCTGCTGACTAAACACGTTCACATCGGCTTGGATGGAGGAGAGCGCAAGATTATCGGCACCTTGAGAAGTTAGTTACTTGTCTGTGGTCCCTCTGAACACGGATAACAAAGAGAAGTGTTTCCTTGGACTCCTGCAGGGAGAATCTACCCGAAAAAGCGATGTGGATAATAAATAAGCGGAGGCTTCTCAGAAGTTAATGTATAAACTAGAAGTTTATGTGTGATAGCTGTAAGGCTTAAATGAACACTTACTGATGCTATTGTATCAGAAACACATCATTTAGTAATAGAACCTGATACATACGAAGCGTAATTGAAAAGAAGGATTGAATTGTTACAAAAAGAAGACTAAATTCTGTTTCTTAGAATCTCCAGAAAAGTGATTGGAAAATGCTTAAAGTCCTGTCAAACAGCTTAATTAAGATTCATTTTTCATCAGCTGGAGTGAGATTAGAAGGAAAACCGATGACTTTAACCTTTATATATTGGGTTTAAACAGCAAAAGGAAAATGTGTTGGAAATCAACTTTAGTTTGTTTGCACACTTACAATATTTAATATGCAATCGAGTGTGTACTTGTCAGCAAATAATAGTACTAGGGAAAGCATTTACACAAAAAATGCTATTGTTGTTAATCACTATTTAAATTTAACTTGCCTTTCAGCAGGTTCAGCTGCAGAAATAATAACTGGTCCAACTGCTGATATTACTGTACATTTACCCTTATTCCTTGTTGTCAGTATGTTATGTTCTCTTCCCCGGCCAGGTAAACTGATGGGGATCGATCTTATAAACATGTCTGGGAGTGATTACTTCCTTGCAGACAAAACAGAGGACACAATTCCTTTTTGTATCACAATCTCTGCAAGATTTTTAAAGCCAGAGATTTAACCGAAGCCTCCCAACTTCATCATCTGTAGAAGATGCAAGCCTTCTCACGTTGGGTATGACACTGACAGTGTGCACCTCTGTATATACCATGAGATGATCAGACCCAACTGTTGTCCCAAAAGCGGGGGTTCATCACCTGGTGTGCAGATGCCCAACTCACATGCAGGATGGAGGTATTTTTCCTTTATTACCCATGAATGTGCATGCACAGGTGCCTGTCCCAAGACAGTACACCATGGTCCCCAAAACTAGGATTATTTATATGCACAATTTTCACATGTGCAATACACTGATACATATATATTAATATTCTACTAAGTGTCTGGTCATAATATCTACGTTTAGCATGTAAATTAGCATGAGTGCCTAGTTTGCCCTCTCCACCCTCTTCTTTTGAGTCTGGGGTGTGATTAGAGTCACTGGGTTGGTCCATGGGTTGGTAGCCTAATTACCTTTTACCTAGTCTCCTCCGGATTTGCCAGGCATAGGCAGGTCGTCACAGCTCGCTGTCTCTACTTCCCATTAATCCTACCTAGGCTCCTGCTTTTTGTCATGCATATACAATAGCAGATTGTTTCAAGGTTTTTGTTTCTACCATTATCCTAACAATTAATCATTTGGTTCTACAGTGTTCCTAACAAAGCTGACCTCTTACCTCAACATTCCTTTTCATAATCTCACATCACAACCATTAACCGGGTTTTCAGAAGTTCCCATTAGCAAAGCAGTTTCGGTTTGCATTCTTGAGGGCTTTTATGAGGACTAGTATTTTGGGGAAGCAAGCTGATATTGGAGGGTCTAAACATGGATTCAAGGCATCAAGTTTTAAGTAGACTTTCTGAAATGTATAAAAATTAGAAAAATTAGGCAAATTAGAAAAATTATAAAAATTAGGTCCATATAAAAATTAGACTTTTCCAGAGATTTAAGAATCATGAATATATACACTATGAAAAAACCAAACAGATCTGGAATATAACTTCTAGATAATGTTAAATTATTTTCCTGGAAGACAGATAATTTTGATTTGAGTTATGCCAATTCTAGATATCATTTGTTCAAAAATGCACCATTTTCATTCTGTGCCTTCTGAGCAGATTTACTCTTCTGACATTACAGACTCAGGTGGTACCTCTGGAACACAAAATGTAGTACACGCACATGTTGGGCACGAGAGCTGAAGAGACAGAAATTTTAGTCCCCCTGTCTGCTTGCAAATTTAAGATGCTTCTGTTAAATTTGCATAATGCCTCTGGATAAGCATCTCCTGTCTGAGACAGAGAAGAGATGATGGATACCAGAGCTGTAGTGATGTACCACAGCCAGTCTGTAGCATTTGTTTTTTTGATGTTTGCTCGCCTAATTATTGCCCCGAGTGGGTGACTCAGGGTTTTTTTAGGACGCTAGCTGCAGATGAGAAGAGCAAGAAGCAGGGTAGAGCTGCATGTGTTTTAGCAGAGTTCATCCCCAGGGAGTTGTGTGTTATATTGATCTCTGCTCCATCTGAAAGCAGAGGAAGGAGATTCCATTCTCTGGATTTGGTGCTTAACTTTCTCCGCACCTTGCAGTAATACTGAGATATTGCATTTCACAAAATCATTGTGCCTTCAGTTATTTAAAGAAAAAAATATTAAAAGAGATTACAAATCAGGGTACAAAGGATTTTATTAGAGTTTACAGGGTTGTAAATTTGCATCCCAAGAGTATGTCTTTTTTTTTTTTTTCCCCCCCCTGGTGTTCATTACCTAAACAGATTCACTGTCTGTATTGAGGAATTATCAATCTTTTCCTTACCTTCCTTAAGATATTTAGAAGAAATAGATTTTGCTTATTTTGTCAAACAGAAGAGATGGCTCCGTGCCTTCCTTTTTGGCTTTCTGATCCAGATGAATTGCAGATGCAGAGGAGTTCCCAGGTTCTTCAGCTTGGGCTATTAATGCCATCAGTGTCGCTGGGGACTCCTGAGGACAGACAAAGGAATCCTGCAAAAACTGATCTCTGGAAAACAGCCTGTTTTGCCGACGGGCCTGCCAGCTCATATCATTAGCAGCAGCAAAGTCAGTGGTATGTAACCAGCCAGCTCTAAGGGCCGTGATGGACAAGCATGAAGAGAGAGGCTATTAGAAAGCTTTGGGCAGCAGGCATTGTGCAGCCGGTGTGGCGTGAGGCTGGGCTCATTTGTACACTGAATGGAGGCAAGAATCTAACAAGATTTTGCCCATGGCTATCATCCTTAATGGTCGCTGAAGGGAGACTTACTAGTCACTTGACAAAAATCCAGATAGGGTATGACTACCAATTCTACTCTATGTTCTCCTTTATCAAGAGATTCAAGGAACTAAAACAGGTCAAGGAGGCAGTATTTCCTTTAGAGAAACCACATTGATATGACTCTTTTCATCACAGTGGTTAAATGCTTGAAGGCATGGTTGCAACAGCACTTAAACTTGCCAGCCCTTCATACCTGTTGATCATAAAACAGCCCATAACTGGGATCTGTAAGAAAGTCTGAACCTCGAGAACTATGGGGTATCATGAGTTGCACTGAATTTTCTTTTTTGTTAAGGCTGCCTAGTGCTTCCCTGTTGAAGAATGGACTCTCTTGAAGCTATTCCACACTTTATTTCTTTGGGGATGATGGTTGCAGTGACAATGACCTGTTTCACACTGCAATATTTGGTAAGTTCCAGCTAAAGTAATAATTAGAATAGAATAGAATAGAATAGAATAGAATAGAATAGAATAGAATAGAATAGAATAGAATAGAATAGAATAGAATAGAATAGAACAGAACTCTTTCAGTTGGAAGTACAACGATCTAGTCCAACTGCCTGACCAATCCAGGACTGACCAAAAGTTAAAACATGTTGCTATGGGCATTGTCCAAATGACTCTTCAACACTTGATAGGCTTGGGTCATCGACCATGTCTATAGGAAGCCTGTTACAGTGTTTTACCACCTCCTAATGTCCAGTCTGAATCTCCTCAAATGCAGCTTTAAACCATTCTCAGACATCCTGTCACTGGATACCAGGGAGAAGAGATCAGCACCTCTCTCTCCACTTCCCCTCCTCACAAAGCTGCAATGAAATTGCTCCTCAGCTGCCTCCTCTCCAAACTAGACAAGCCCAAAGTCCTTAGCCGTTCCTTGTAGGACATTCCTTCCAGCCTTTCATCAGCTTTGTTGCCCTCCTGGACACATTCAAGGATTTTAATATCTTTCTTAAATTGTGCAGCCCAGAACTGTGAGTACTGGAGGCGAGGCCGCACCAGCGCTGAACACAGCGGGACAGTCGCCTCTTTTGCCGGGCTGGTTATGCTGTTTGGTGCACCCCGGGATGCGGTTTGCCCTCTTGCTGCCAGGGCACGCTGCTGGCTCCTACTGAGCCTGCTGCCGACCAGCACCCCCAGATCCCTTTCTGCAGGGCGGCTCTCCAGCCACTCCTCTCCCAGTTTATAATTGTGC